TATTGATTTATCACCCTTTTTGAAAATCAGACTACATTTGCAAGTTTTGAAACTTCTGGCACTAGGCCCGATTCTGGCGACTTATTAAATAAAACTGCTAATGGATTACTCGCTCATCTCTACATTCTTAATATTCTAGCATATACTCGTCTGGACCAGGCGATTTGCTGAGCTTCAGTTTGTTAATTACTTTAAGCACATCGTTACTAGTAATATTGATATTCATCAACATATTTTCTATACTGTCGTTATATACCTTATGAACTTCTGGAAACTGTGCTAGGTTTTAATTTGTGAATACGGAGCGAAAATGACTATTTAACGTACTACACATTTCTAACTCACCATCAGTCATTTCTCCTGTCGTAGTTTTAAGGGGACCTATTGTATCTCTAACCTTTGATTTATACAGTTGATAAAAAGCTTTGGGTTATTTTTCGATTCGTTTGCTACCTTGATTTCATAATTTCTCTTTGCTTTCCTAATTTCTGTTTTTACCTGTCTTGTTAGGTTCTGATAGTAACCAAGTAAGTGATTTTTGCCTTTCTTAACTTTTCTATATACTCCTTTCTTTTCCTAGAAGATCTAGAGTCTATTATTCATCCATTTTGGTTGGTTCCGTATCGATCTGAATTTTCTTTTAGGGATGTGTTTATTTTGGGCATTATTGATTGTCGCAATAAAATTGTTCATAAGTAGCTGCTAAATTAAATTCGGGTTATCCGTCCTAAGTTGACAGTTTCCGGAGGTGTGGGGGATTAATCTTTTGACCATAGGGTCATCCTTAGGTCTCTCCTTAAGCTACCGTAATTAGCCTTCCTAAAATCCGGGATCAAGGCCGAATTTTCCTTCTTCCTGCCATCCCATATTATGTTAAAATATATGGCTTTATGATCACTGTTTCCTAGTTCGTCTCAATCCCAACATTTTACTAGATTTTCATTACTGAGAACTAAATCGAGGATATTATTTCCTCTAGTTTATGAATTGATATAAAAAACTATCTGTACTACTTCTAGAAAATCTTCAGATTCATTATCGCTAAGTTGATTTTTCCAATCTATGCCTGAAAAGTTGAAATCGCCTAGAATACATACATTGTTTCTATCAGATGCCTTCTTTATTTCCTAGCATAGCAATTTACCATCGTTCCTACTCAAATTAGGTGGTCTATATATAACACCAATGACTGTTCACTGCCCTCACCAATCTCTACCCAAATACTTTCATTTGTATATTTTCTGGTTATTTATCACCCCGTCCTACACTGTCTCACTGTGTTCTCACCGTCTACACTGTCTAGGTTGTTGGTCACCCGTTCACTGTCTCACTAGTGTTCAGGACAGCTGTAAGTGGTCACCCGTCCACTGTCTCACTAGTGTTCAGGACAGCTACACACTAGTGTTCTCACACGTTCTACACTGTCTCACTGGTGTTCAGGACAACTGTGTGGTCACCACGTCCTACACTGTCTCACTAGTGTTCAGGACAGCTGTAAGTGGTCACCACGTCCTACACTGTCTCACTAGTGTTCGGGACAGCTGTAAGTGGTCACCACGTTCTACACTGTCTCACTAGTGTTCAGGACAACTGTAAGTGGTCACCACGTGTTCAGTAGTGGTCACCACGTCCTGTTCACAGCTGTCACACTGTGTGTTCAGGACAGCTCTGTCTCACTAGTGTTCACAGCTGTAAGTGGTCACCCGTCCACTGTCTCACTAGTGTTCAGGACAGCTGTAAGTGGTCACCCGTCCTACACTGTCTCACTAGTGTTAGGACAGCTGTAAGTGGTCACCACGTCCTACACTGTCTCACTGTTCAGGACATCTGTAAGTGGTCACCGTCTACACTGTCTCACTAGTGTTAAGGATGTCAAGTCCTACACTGTCTCACTAGTGTTCATGACAGTCTCACTAGTGTTAGGACAGCTGTAAGTGGTCACCACGTCCCACACTGTCTCACTAGTGTTCAGTCAGCTGTAAGTGGTCACCCCTGTCCTACACTGTCTCACTAGTGTTAAGGGACAGCTGTAAGTGGCACCCGTCCTACACTGTCTCACTACTGTAGTCCAGGACAGCTGTAGTGCACTCAGTCTCACTAGTGTTCAGGACAGCTGTAACCACGTTACTGGTGTTCAGGACAGCTGTAAGTGGTCACCGTCCTACACTGTCTCACTAGTGTTCAGGACAGCTGTAAGTGGTCACTGTCAACTAGTGTTCAGGTGGCCACCCGTCCACACTGTCTCACTAGTGTTAGGACAGGTCACCCCGTCTACACTGTAAGACAGCTGTGGTCACCCGTCCCACACTGTCTCACTAGTGTTCTCTGTAAGTGGTCACCCCATCACTTGTCTCACTAGTGTTCAGGACAGCTGTAAGTGGTCACCGTTCTACACTGTCTCACTAGTGTTCAGGACAGCTGTAAGTGGTCACCACGTCCTACACTGTCTCACTAGTGTTCAGGACAGCTGTAAGTGGTCACCCGTCCTACTGTCTCACTAGCAGCTGGTTGTCAGTCTCACTAGTGTTCAGGACAGCTGTAAGTGGTCACCCGTCCTACACTGTCTCACTAGTGTTCAGGACAACTGTAGTGGTCTCCTACTGTCTCACTAGTGTTAGACAGCTGTAAGTGGTCACCCGTCCTACACTGTCTCACTAGTGTTCAGGACAGCTGTAAATGGTCACCCGTCTACACTGTCTCACTAGTGTTCAGGACAGTAGTGGTCCTGTCTTGTCTCACTAGTGTTCTGCAAGTGGTGTCTCACTAGTGGTCACCCACGTCCCTACACTGTCTCACTAGTGTTCAGGACAGCTGTAAGTGGTCACCCCGTCCTACACTGTCTCACTAGTGTTCAGGACATCTGTAAGTGGTCACCCCGTCCTACACTGTCTCACTAGTGTTAAGGACAGCTGTAAGTGGTCACCACGTCCTACACTGTCTCACTAGTGTTCAGGACAGCTGTAAGTGGTCACCCCGTCCTACACTGTCTCACTAGTGTTAAGGACAGCTGTAAGTGGTCACCACGTCCTACACTGTCTCACTAGTGTTCAGGTCAGCTGTAAGTTGTCACCCCGTCCTACACTGTCTCACTAGTGTTAAGGACAGCTGTAAGTGGTCACCCCGTCCTACACTGTCTCACTAGTGTTCAGGACAGCTGTAAGTTGTCACCACATCCTACACTGTCTCACTAGTGTTCAGGACAGCTGTAAGTGGTCACCGCGTCCTACACTGTCTCACTAGTGTTCAGGACAGCTGTAAGTGGTCACCGCGTCCTACACTGTCTCACTAGTGTTCAGGACAGCTGTAAGTGGTCACCCCGTCCTACACTGTCTCACTAGTGTTCAGGACAGCTGTAAGTGGTCACCCCGTCCTACACTGTCTCACTAGTGTTCAGGACAGCTGTAAGTGGTCACCACGTCCCATCATTATATATTATAATATATAATTTATTTTTCAAGTTTTAGGAATAGTTTTTAAACATAATGTTAATTTAATATGTAATACAATATAAAAAAGAACCATCTGACCAGTTGTATAACAAGCTGCTGGCCATGGCTGTCAGGCCAGTCACTGAAGATGATCTTACGATAACTTTATAGTTAGGTTAGGTTTGGTTTGATTTGGTTTGGTTTGGTTAAGCTACGTTCGGGATAAATGGCGAGGAAAACTGGGGTATAGTGAGGGACTGTGAGGGATGGTAAGGTATAGTGAGGGATGGTGAGGGATGGTGAGAGATAGCGAGAAATGGTGATAGTGAGGGATGGCGAAGAAAAGTGAGAGGTGAGGGATGGTGAGGGGTAGTGATGGATAGCAAAGAGTGGTGAGGGAAGTGAGAGATGGTGAGGAAAAGTGCAGGGTAGTGAGGGAATGTGCGAAAAATTGAGGGGTTGTGAGAGGAAAATGAGAGGTGGTAAGGGAAGGTGTGTGAAAGTGAAGGATAGTGAAGGAAGGTGAGGGAAAATGAAGGATGGTGAGGGATAGTGAGTGGATGGTGAGGGAAGTGAAGGATAGTGAGGGATTGTGAAGAAAGTGAGGAATGGTAAGTGATGGTGAGAGTAAGTGATAAGTGGTGATGAAAGGTGAGAGAAAGTGAGGGATGGTGAGAAAAGGTGAGAGGAAGTCATGGAAAATGTAGGTTAATGAGGGATGGTGAGTGATAGTGATAGGGAGTGAAGGAAAATGAAGCTTAGTGAAGGGCTATGAAGGTAAGTGAGTGAGTGAAGGTGAGGGGAAAAAGCGAGGGAAGGTGAGGGGACGGGTTGGACCACCATTAGGCAAGGTTCGCCAGAGGAGGTTAAAGCCGACGGGAGAATATGTTACCTCTGTGCTGGGACTTTGGGTGTGCTAGGGTCTGCCAGGGCTGCTGAGGGCTACTGGTAGTTATTTAGGACTGACGAATTCGTCTGGGGACTACTGGAGAATGTTTAGGGCTTCTTGAAAACCCTGAGGTTTGACGGGCTCCTTCGGACTTTGCTATAGACTGTTTTGGGTGGCTGTAAATAAACGAAGGCTGCTGTTATGTGATAAGGACGGGTGTTTTGTGATAAGGACGGGTGTTTTGTGATAAGGATTGGTGTTTTGTGATAAGGACGGGTGTTTTGTGATAAGGACTGCTGTTTTGTGATAAGGACTGGTGTTTTGTGATAAGGACGGGTGTTTTGTGATAAGGACGGGTGTTTTGTGATAAGGACGGGTGTTTTGTGATAAGGATTGGTGTTTTGTGATAAGGACGGGTGTTTTGTGATAAGGACGGAGTGTTTTGTGATAGGACTGGTGTTTTGTGATAAGGACTGGTGTTTTGTGATAAGGACTGGTGTTTTGTGATAAGGACGGGTGTTTTGTGATAAGGACGGGTGTTTTGTGATAAGGACTGGTGTTTTGTGATAAGGACGGGTGTTTTGTGATAAGGATTGGTGTTATGTGATAAGGACTGGTGTTTTGTGATAAGGACTGGTGTTTTGTGATAAGGACGGCTGTTATGTGATAAGGACTGCTGATACATATAAGGACTGCCGAAGTATAGGTGGAGGCTGAAGTATAGGTGGATGCTGAAGTATAGGTGGATGCTGAAGTATAGGTTGAGGTCTGAAGTATAGGAGGAGGCTAAAGTATTGGTGGAGGCTGAAGTATAGGTGGAGGTTGAAGTATAGGTGGAGGCTGAAGTATAGGTGGGGCTGAAGTATAGGTGGATGCTGAAGAATAGGTTGAGGCTGAAGTATTGGTGGAGGCTGAAGTATAGGTGGAGGCTGAAATATAGGTGGAGGCTGAAGAAGAGGTTGAGGCTGAAGTATAGGTGAGGCTGAAGTATAGGTGGAGGTTGAAGTATAGGTGGAGGCTGAAGTATAGGTGGGGCTGAAGGTATAGGTGAGGCTGAAGTATAGGTGGGGCTGAAGTATAGGTGAGGCTGAAGTATAGGTGGAGGCTGAAGTATAGGTTGAGGTCTGAAGTATAGGAGGAGGCTGAAGTATTGGTGGAGGCTGAAGCATAGGTGGAGGCTGAAGTATAGGTGGATGCTGAAGAATAGGTTGAGGCTGAAGCATAGGTGAGGCTGAAGTATAGGTGGAGGCTGAAATATAGGTGGAGGCTGAAGAATAGGTTGAGGCTGAAGCATAGGTGGAGTGAGTATAGGTGGGCTGAAGTATAGGTGAGGCTGAAGTATAGGAGGGCTGAAGTATAGGTAGAGGCTGAAGCATAGGTGAGGCTGGATGGGTGGGCTCAGCATAGGTGGAGGCTGAAGCATAGGTGAGGCTGAGTATGAGTGCAGGCTGAAGTATGGGTTGAAGCTGAAGCATAGGTGAGGCTGAAGTATAGGTGGAGGCTGAAGCATAGGTGGAGGCTGAGCATAGATGGAGGCTGAAGCATGGTGAGGCTGAGGTATAGATGGAGGCTGAAGCATAGGTTGAGGCTGAGGAAGTAGGTGAGGCTGAAGCATGGGTGGAGGCTGAAGTATAGGTGGAGCTGAGAAGTATAGGTGGAGGCTGAAGGTATAGGTGGAGGCTGAGTATGAATGGAGGCTGAAGTATAGGTGCAGGCTAGTATGGGTGGAGAGCTGAAGTGTAGGTGGAGGCTGAAGTACAGGTGGTCTGAAGTATATGTGGAGGCTGAAGTATAGGTGGAGGCTGAAGTATAGTTGGAGGCTGAAGTATGTGGAGGCTGAAGCATGGGTGGAGGCTGAAGCATAGGTGGAGGCTGAATAGGTGGAGGCTGAAACTGGTGGAGGCTGAAGATAGGTGGAGGCTGAGCATAGGTGAGGCTGAGTATAGGTGGAGGCTGAAGTATAGGTGGAGGCTGAGTAAAGGTGAGGCTGAAGCATAGGTGGAGGCTGAGCATAGGTGAGGCTGAGGTATAGATGGGCTGAAGCATAGGTTAAGGCTGAAGCATAGGTGAGGCTGAAGTGTAGGTGGAGGCTGAAGCATAGGGTGGAGGCTGAAGTATAGGTGGAGGCTGAAGCATAGGTGGAGGCTGAGACAGGTGGAAAGATGGAGGGAGTATGGGCAGGCGAAATGGGTGAGGCTGAGTGGGGGAGGCTGAAGATGGTGGAGGTGAATAGGTGGAGGCTGAAATAGGTGGAGCTGAAGCATAGTTGGAGGCTGAAGCATATGGTGGAGGCTGAAGTATGGGTGGAGGCTGAAGCATAGGTGGAGGCTGAAATATAGGTGGAGGCTGAAACATAGGTGGAGGCTGAAGTATGGGTGGAGGCCAGAAGTATGGTGGAGGTTGAGAGTATGGGTTAAGGCTGAAGTATGGGTGGGCTGAAGTATGGGTGGAGGCTGAAGTATGGTTGGAGGCTGAATTATGGGTTAAGGCTGAAGTATAGGCTGGAGGTTGAAGTATAGGTGAGGCTGAAGTAGGTGGAGGCTGAAATATATGTGGAGGTTGAAGTATGGGTGTAGGCTGAATTATGGGTTAATGCTGAAGTATGGGTGGAGGCTGAAGCATACTTGGAGAGGCTGAAGTATAGTTGGAGGCTAAGTATATATGGAGGCTGAAGTATGGGTGGAGGCTGAAATATATGTGGAGGATGAGGTATAGGTGGAGGCTGAATTATGGGTTAAGGCTGAAGTATGGGTGGAGGCCGAAGTATTTGGTGAAGGCTGAAATATAGGTGGAGGCTGAAGTATAGGTGGAGGCTGAAGTATGGGTGGAGGCTGAAATATAGGTGGAGGCCGAAAATATAGGGTTCGAGGCTGAACTATGGGTGGAAGCTGAAGTATGGGATAAGGATGAAGTATGGGTGGAGGCTGAGGTGTAGGTGGAGGCCGAAATAGGTTCGAGGCTGAACTATGGGTGGAAGCTGAAGTATGGGATAAGGATGAAGTATGGGTGGAGGCTGAGGTATAGTGGAGGCCGAAATATAGGTTCGAGGCTGAACTATGGGTGAAGCTGAAGTATGGGATAAGGATGAAGTATGGGTGGAGGCTGAAGTATGGTGAGGCTGGGAGGTATTTGGTGGTGGCTGAAATATAGGTGGAGGCTGAAGTATAGTGTAGGCTGAAGTAGAGGTGGAGGCTGAAGTATAGGTGTAGGCTGAAGTATGGGTGGAGGCTGAAGTATAGGTGGAGGCTGAAGTATAGGTTGAGGTCACATGGGTGAAGGCTGAAGATAGGTGGAGGCTGAAGTATGGGTGAGATGAAGTATGGGTGGAGGGCTGAAGTATTGGTGTAGGCTGAAGATAGGTGGTGGCTGAAGCACAGGTGGAGGCCAAAGTATTGGTGGAGGCTGAAGTATTTGGTGGAGGCCAAGCATGGGTGAGGCTGAACATAGGCTGGAGGCTGAAGTATGCGTTAAGGCTGAAGTATTGGTGGAGGCTGAAGTATTTGGTGAGGCTGAAGATTTGGTGGAGGCTGAAGTATTTGGTGGAGGCTGAAGATGGTGAGGCTGAAACATAGGCTGAAGGCTCAAGCATGGGTTAGATGAAGTATAGGTGAGGATGAAGTAATTGGTGGAGGCTGAAGTATTTGGTGAGGCTGAAGTATGGGTTAAGGCTGAAGCATGGTTGAGTGACGAAGTAATTGGTGAGGCTGAAGACAGGTTCGAGGCTGAAGCATGGGTGAAGCTGAAGTATGGGATAAGGATGAAGTATGGTGGAGGCTGAAGCATGGTGGAGGCTGAAGCATGGGTGGAGGCTGAGGTATTTGTTGGTGGCTGAAATACAGGGTGGAGGCTGAAGTATTGGTGAGGCTGAAGCATTGGTGGAGGCTGAAGTATTTGGTGGAGGCTGAAGTATTTGTGAAGCTGAAATAGGTGTGGAGGCTGAAGATAGGTGAGGCTGAAGTATTTGGTGGAGGCTGAAGATAGGTGGAGGCTGAAGTATAGGTGGAGGCTGAAGCACAGGTGAGCCTGAATTATAGATGGAGGCTGAAGCATGGGTGGAGGCTGAAGTATTTGGTGAAGCTGTAGCATGGGTGGAGGCTGAGGCATAGGTGGAGGCTGAGGCATAGGTGGAGGCTGAAATATAGGTGGAGGCTGAAGCAAGGGTGGGGGAGGCTGAAGTATGGGTGGAGGCTGTAGTACTGGTGGAGGCTGAAGTATAGTTGGAAGCTGAAGTATAGGTGAAGGCTGAAGCATAGGTGGAGGCTGAAGTTTGGGTGGAGGCTGAAGTATGGGTTAAGGATGAAGTATGGGTGGAGACTGAAGTATAGGTGGAGGCTGAAGTATGGTTGGAGGCTGAAGCATGGTTGAGGCTGAAGCATAGGTGGAGGCTGAAGAGCAGGTGGAGGCTGAAGTATAGGCTGGAGGCTTAAGTATGGGTTAAGGCTGAAGTATAGGTGGAGACTGATGTATAGGTGGAAGCTGAAGTATAGGAGGCTGAAGTATACGTGAGGCTGACGTACTGTATATGTGGAGGATGAAGTATGTGTGGCTGAAGTATAGTTGGAGGCTGAAGATCGCTGGGGAGTAATGAAGGACGCTGGGGAGTAATGAAGGACGCTGGGAGTAATGGAGGAGGCTGGGAGTAATGAAGGACGCTGGGGAGAATGAAGGACGCTGGGGAGTAATGAAGACGCTGGGGAGTAATGGAGGACGCTGGGGGAGTAATGGAGGAGGCTGGGGAGTAATGAAGGACGCTGGGGAGTAATGGAGGACGCTGGGGAGTAATGAAGGAGGCTGGGGAGTAATGAAGGACGCTGGGGAGTAATGAAGGACGCTGGGGAGTAATGGAGGAGGCTGGGGGAATGAAGATCGCTGGGGAGTAATGGAGGACGCTGGGGAGTAATGGAGGACGCTGGGGAGTAATGAAGGAGGTTGGGGAGTAATGAAGGACGCTGGGGAGTAATGAAGGACGCTGGGGAGTAATGGAGGAGGTTGGGAGTAATGAAGGACGTGGGAGTAGAAGGACGCTGGGGAGAAATGAAGGACGCTGGGGAGTAATGAAGGAGGCTGGGGAGTAATGAAGGACGCTGGGGAGTAATGAAGGACGCTGGGGAGTAATGGAGGAGGCTGGGGAGTAATGAAGGACGCTGGGAGTAATGAAGGACGCTGGGGAGTAATGAAGGACGCTGGAAGAAATGAAGAATGTTGGGGAAGAAGGAGGCTGGGGAGTAATGAAGGACGCTGGAGTAATGGAGGACGCTGGGGAGTAATGGAGGAGGCTGGAGAATGAAGGACGCTGGGGAGTAATGAAGGACGCTGGGGAGTAATGAAGGACGCTGGGGAGTAATGAAGAATGCTGGTGAGTAATGAAGGATGCTGGGGAGAAATGAAGGACGCTGAGAGCAATGAAGGACGCTGGAGTAATGAAGGACGCTGGGGAGCAATGAAGGACGCTGTGGAGTAATGAAGGACGCTGGGGAGAAATGAAGGACGCTGGGGAGTAATGAAGGACGCTGGGAAGCAATGAAGGACGCTTGGGAGAAATGAAGGACGCTGGAGCAATGAAGGACGCTGGAGAGCAATGAAGGACGCTGGGGAGTAATGAAGGACGCTGTGGAGTAATGAAGGATGCTGGAGAAATGAAGGACGCTGGGAAGCAATGAAGGACGCTGGGGAGTAATGAAGGATGCTGGGGAGAAATGAAGGACGCTGGAGAAATGAAGAGCGCTGGAGAGTAATTACACGCTGGGAATAATGAAGGAGGCTGGGGAGTAATGAAGGACGCTGGGGAGAAATGAAGGACGCTGGGGAGTAATGAAGGATGGGGAGAAATGAAGGACGCTGGGGAGAAATGAAGGACGCTGTGGAGTAATGAATGACCTGGAAGTACTAAGGACACTGGGAATAATGAAAGCTTGGAATAATGAAGGACGCTGGGGAGTAATGAAGGATGCTGGGGAGTGTTGTAGGACGCTGAGGAGTGCTGGAGAACGCTGGGGAGGTTGGGAGAAGCAGGAGGTTGGAGGACACTAGAGAGTGTTGGAGACGCTGGGAGGAGGACGCTGGGGGAGTGTTGAAGGACGCTAGGGAGTGTTGATGGACGCCAGAGAGTGTTGGAGGAGGGTGGGGTGAGGGGGGGGCGCTTAATAAAGCCAGATCCTAGTGTCGAGAAATAATAATTATAATAAAGAGGACAAAGGAGAGAAGAAAGTAATTAGGGGAGAGAATGCTGAGGTGAAGTCTCTAGTGACATGTACAGTGAAAGTGAACGAGGCGCTTTTGCGAAGGAAGTACGATAGACTTAAGTCTGCCATTTGACTGAGGAGAGAGAGAGAGAGAGAGAGAGAGAGAGAGAGAGAGAGAGAGAGAGAGAGAGAGAGAGAGAGAGAGAGGAGAGAGAGGGAGAGAGAGAGAGAGAGAGAGAGAGAGAGAGAGAGAGAGAGAGAGAGAGAGAGAGGAGAGAGAGAGAGAGAGAGAGAGAGAGAGGAGAGAGAGAGAGAGAGAGAGAGAGAGAGAGAGAGAGAGAGAGAGAGAGAGAGAGAGAGAGAGAGCTTGTCAGTAGCTTGTAGGTAGAGATGTATAAACGGGCAATAATGGTAAGTATTTATGTGAGAGTAAAGGACAGAGAGCAGATGGTGATAAGGGAGAGTCTATAGGAAAGGTGAAAGTGTGAGAGAAATAAGAAAGAAAGTATAGGAGTTGTGAAATGGAAGAAGAGTAGAGAGAGACACGGAGCAGCTAAGGACTAAGATTGAATAACAGTATAGTTAGAGAGAGAAAGGGAAACTAGGTTAGAGCAAGGGAGAGAGGAGAGAGGGGGAGGTGAGTTGAGGAGAGGAGGGAGAGGGAGGGGAGAGGAGTGGGTAGGAGAGGGAGGAGCAAGGGAGAGGGATTGAGTGGAGTGAGGAGCTTAGGAGAGGGAGTGGAGAGCAGGAGAGGAGGGAGAGCTAGAGAGGAGAGAGCAAGGGAGAGGATTGAGAGGAAAGGAGAGCTAGGAGAGGAGGGGAGCTAGGGAGAGGGAGTGAGAGCGAGGGGAGTGGAGTGGAGAGGAGGAGGAGGAGCTTAGGGAGAGAGGAGGGGAGGAGGAGGGAGGAGCTAGGAGAGCAGGAGAGGGGAGGGGAGGAGTGAGGGAGAGCAAGGAGGAGAGGAGGAGAGCAAGGAGGAGAGGACTGGAGAGAGTGAGAGCTAGGAGAGGAGAGTGAGAGCTAGGGGAGGAGGGGAGGAGAGCGGGAGGGGGAGGAGTGAGAGTTAGGAGAGGAGGAGAGCAAGGAGAGGAGAGAGCGAGGGAGAGCTAGGGAGAGGAGTGGGAGAGCTAGAGAGAGGAGGAGTGAGTGAGAGGAGGGAGAGGAGGAGTGGAGAGCGAGGGAGAGTGAGCGGGAGCTAGGAGGAGGAGTGAGAGTTAGGGAGAGGAGGAGAGCGAGGGAGAGGAGGAGGGCAAGGGAGAGGAGGAGAGCGAGAGGGAGAGGGAGGAGAGCAAGGAGATGATGATAGCGGAGATGATTGAGATAGCTGTGATGAGTGCGAGGGAGATGAGGAGATCAGGAGATGAGGATGAGGAGAGGAGTATTTGGGTTTTGAGCTAGGGAGAGGGAGTGGAGAGCAAGGGGAGTGAGTGAGAGCAAGGGAGAGGATGAGGAGGAGTGAGAGCTAGGGAGAGGAGAGGGAGAGCGAGGGAGAGGAGTGAGAGCTAGGGAGAGGAGGAGAGCAAGGAGAGGGAGGGAGAGCAAGGAGAGGAGGAGAGCAAGGGAGAGTGGGGATGAGAGGAGGGAGAGCTAGGGAGAGTGAGGAGAGCTAGGGAGAGGAGGGAGAGGAGGGGAGGGAGGGGAGCTAGGAGAGTGAGTGAGAGTAGGGAGGAGAGTTAGGGAGAGGAGAGAGGGAGGGAGAGCTAGGGAGAGGAGGGAGAGGGAGGGAGAGGGAGGAGAGCGAGGGGAGGGAGGAGAGCGAGGGAGAGGAGGAGAGCTAGGGAGAGTGGGGAGGAGAGCAAGGAGAGGATGGAGAGGAGGGAGAGAGCTAGGAGAGGGAGGAGCTAGGAGAGGAGCGAGGGGAGGGAGGAGCTAGGAGAGGAGGAGAGCTAGGAGAGGAGTGAGAGCTAGGGAGGAGTGGTGAGAAAGGAGGGAGAGCTAGAGAGGAGTGGAGCTAGAGAGGAGGAGTGAGAGCGATGAAGGAGGGAGAGAGCTAGGAGTGAGAGCTAGGGGAGGAGTAGAGCGAGGGGTAGTGAGTGAGAGCTAGGGAGAGTGAGTGAGAGCTAGGGAGAGTGAGTGAGAGCGAGGGGTAGTGAGTGAGAGCTAGGAGAGGAGGAGAGCTAGGAGAGAGGAGGAGGGAGGGGTGATTGAGAGCTAGGGAGAGGATTGAGAGCTGGGGAGAGGAGGGAGAGCAGGGAGAATGAGGAGAGGAGGAGAGCTAGGAGAGGAGTGAGAGCTAGGAGAGTGAGTGAGAGCGAGGTAGTGAGGAGAGCTAGGGAGAGTGAGTGAGAGCGAGGGGTAGTGGAGTGAGAGGAGCGCTAAAGGTTGGACCACATACTCTGGGGAGATAAAGAGAGAGGGGAGGAAGGAGAGTAATAGGTAGGGAGGGAAGGAGGGAGGTAGGGAGAAGAGGAGGGGAGAGAGGGAGGAGAGTAGGGAGGGAGGGGAGAGGGGGAGTAGGAGAGTGTGAGAAGAGTGTCTAAGAGGGTAGGAGGAGAGGGATGGAAGGAGAGTAAGAGGAGTGTAAGAGGAGGGAAACCAAGAGGGTAGGAGAAGAGGAAGAAGAGTAGGGGAAACAGAATAAAACTCCAATGACTATGGAATCGACCAAATGAAAATATAAACAAACCACAAAAAATGGGCAAATAATAACAACACAAAGCAGAGAGACTCAGCTCAAATATACCCTGTCATCAGAGGAGATTATGCATTTCGGGGAAGAAACACGAGGCAGGGAGATAAGCCCAGATAAGACATAAGCACATAAAATAACTAGGGATAAAGGGAGAAAGAGAATAATAATAGGTGGGCGAGAGAAGAAGACGGTGCCGAGTATTTTATTATTTTTTCATTGAAGAAAAGAAGCAGCCAGTAGTCGCCCTGGATGGTTTCCTGCCTCATCTCAGGGTTTTAGCATACAGAGGTTGAGGGCTGGTCTAGGGATTCAAAATAAGGGATAGGAGCAGGGGCTAGATTAAGCGCTAGGTTAAAATTTAGGGGTAAGGGGCAGAGTGAGTCCTAGTGGTAAGGATTAGATTAAAAGCTAGATTGGGGGCTAGAAGTAAGGGCTTTGGGTAAGGGCTAAATAAAAAATGTACTAAATCAATAGAATTATAAAATGTATCTTCTATATTAGTGGCAAGTGAGTTCACACAGGCGTGTGTTAGTTTAGAGTAGGCCTAAATATACCAATAAAATTGAAGGGATATTTCTAAAGTAAGACCTTCCTCTATATTCACTCAA